TTTTAAGAAAGGTAAAAATGCAACTGAAACTCAAAAAAAGATTTGTACAGTGTATGGAGAAGGTGCTGTGACTGAGCATAAGTGTTAAAAGTGGTTTACAAAGTTTCATGCTGGAGATTTCTCGCTGTATGATGCTCCATGGTCTGGTAGACCAGTGAATAAATCGAGACATTGAGAACAATCAACGTTATACTACATGGGAGATAGCTGACATACTCAAGATATCCAAATCAAGCATTGAAAATAATTTGCACCAGCTTGGTTATGTACATCACTTAATGTTTGGGTTCCACATAAGTTAAGTGGAAAAAACCTTCTTGACCTTATTTTTGCATGCAATTCTTTACTTAAATGTAGCAAAAAACTTCCATTTTTAAAACAATTTGTTATGGGCGATTTAAAATGGATACACTACAATAATGTGGAATGGAAGAGATCCTGGGGTAAGGGAAGTGAACCATCAACCACACCAAAGGCCTGTCTTCATCCAAAGAAGGTGATGTTGTGTATATGGTGGGATTGGAAGGAAGTCGTCTCTTAGCTCTTTCTGGAAAACCAAAGGATTGATTCCAACAAATACTGGTCCCAGTTTGTTCATTAGCTAAGTGTTGTCCTACTCTTTGCGACATCATGGACTGCGGCTTGACCAGCTTCCCTGTCCTTCAGTATCTCCCCGAGTTTGCTCAAACTTATGTACATTGAGTCAGTGATGCCATCCAGACGTCTGATCCTTTGTTGCCCCTTCTCCTCTTGCCTTCAGTCTTTCCCAGCATCAGGGTCTTTTCCAAGGAGTTGGCTCTTTGCATCACATGGCCAAATTATTAGTTTTACCGTCAGTCCATCCGATGAATATTTAGGGTAAATTCCTTTAGGATTGACTGGTTTGACCTCCTTGCAGTCCAAGGGACTCTACAGAATCTTCTCCAGCACCGCAGTTCAAAAGCATCAATTCTTAGGTGCTCAGCCTTCTTTACAGTCCAACTGTCACATCCGTACCTGAAGGCTGGAAAAACCATAGCTTTGACTATATGGACTTTTGTTGGCAAAGTGATGTCTCTGCTATTTAATACTCTGTCTAGGTTTGTCATAGTTTTTCTTTCAGGGAGCAAGTGTCTTTCAATTTCATACCTGCAGTCACAATCCACAGTGATTTTGGAGCTCAAGAAAATGAAATCTGCCAGTTTCCATATTAGACCAGCTGAAAGCACTTAACAAAAAGCGTCTGGAATTAGTCATCAGAAAACAGAATGCAAGACCACATGTTTCTTTTCTTTCTTTTAAAAATATTTATTTATTTAAAATTCATTTATTTTTAATTGAAGGGTAATTGCTTCACCATATTGTGTTGGCCTCTTCCATACATCAACATGATCAACCATAGGTATATGTATGTCCCCTGCCTCTCAACTCCCACCCCTCTAGGATGTTGCAGAGCCCCAGTTTGAGTTCTCTGAGTCATAAAACAACCTGTTGGTTATCTGTTTTACATATGGTAGTATATATGCTTCCATGTTTCTCTCTCAATTCATCCCACCTTCTCCTTCCTGCCCCCCTCCTTGTCTGTTAAGTTTTGCCTCTATGTCTGCATCTGCATTGCTGCCCTGCAGATAGGTACATTACTGCCATCTTTCTAGATTCTATATATATGCATTAATATACTATAATTGTTTTCCTGTTTCTCACTTCACTGTGTATAATAGGCTCTAGATTCATCCACTTCATTAGAACTGACTCAGATGTGTCCCTTTTAATGGCTGAGTAATATTCCATTGTATATATATATCACTGTTTCTTTTATCCATTCATCTGTTGATGGGCATCTAGGTTGCTTCCATGTCCCAGTTCTTGGAAATAGTGCTGCAAAGGACATTGGGGTACATGTGCCTTTTTCAGTTTTGATTTCCTCAGAGTATATGCCAAATAGTGGGGTTGCTGTGTCGTATGTCAGTTCTGCTCCCAGTTTTTTTGGGAATCATATTTTCCAAAGTGGCTGTATCAGTTTAACCAGTCGAGCAAGAGGGTTCCCTTTTCTCCACACCCTCTCCAGTGTTTATTGTTTGTGGGTTTTTTGATGAGGGCCATTCTGAAGTGTGAGGTGATACCTCATTGTAGTTTCGATTTTCATTTCTCTAATAATGAGTGATGTTGAGCATCTTTTCACGTTTTTATTAGCTATCTGTATGTCTTTGGAGAATTGTCTGTTTAAGTCTCTTGCCCACTTTTTGATTGGGTTGTTTGTTTTTCTGGTATCATATTTCTTTGATAATCAGGCAAAAACTGTTACAGCTTGGCTGGGAAGTTCTGATTCATCCATCAGACATTGCACCTTTGCATTTCCATTTATTTTGGTCTGTACAAAATTCTCTTGATGGAAAAAAAATCTCCATTCTCTGGAAGACTGTAAAAGGCACCTGGAACTGTTCTTTCCTCAAAAAGATAAAAAGTTTTGAGAAGATGGAATTACAAACTTGCCTTAAAAATGGCAGAAGGTAGTGGAACAACAGTGAATACGTTGTTCAATAATGTTCTTGGTGAAAATGAAAAATATATCTTCTATTTTTACTTAAAAACGAAAGAAATTTCAGTATTACCTTTAACTGCCTTTCCAATTTTGAAAATCTATGGTTGATAACTTGGTTTAGTTTTTATGTACTTGTTGTCTTGGAAATTTAGAATTGGAGAGACTTTGGAAATCATCTGGCTCTAGTAGTTTTACAGTTTCGGGGAAATTGTGAAATTCTTCATTCCTCCATCAACAATTGTTTTTCATTATTTTTGTTTTTTAGTGGTCCATCGCAGTTATTAACCCTCCTGCTAGGTGGAAATTGCAAGGGTCAAGTATCATTGCCATCAGAACTCTCCCTGTCCAAACTCAGGAACTGCACAGATTCAGGTAACTTTCTGAGATACCTTTCTTTCATGAACTCTCATGTTTGTTATCCAAAACTCAGGAATCTGATAGATTGGGATAAAGCATTATACCACCTGTGACCTGAACTTAGTAAAAGTAACTCTCAATATCTGAATTCAGGAAAAAACATGGATTTGGATAGTGAGGATTCTTGGGCTACTTGTTCTGGCAGTGAAATGAGAAAGATCAGTTGGTCACTTCAGTTCTCCTCTCTGGGACCAACACCTTGTCCGCTTCCTCCAGGGTTCCAGCCTTGCCCTCCAGAGTCCCTTCCCTGTCCATTTCCCTCTTGGCCATATTTGCAGTCAAATGCTCTTCCACTGAGCTATACCCCCTCTCTTGGCCGTATTTGAAGTAGGTGTTGGGAGGTGTGCTCTCCTTTGGGACTGTAGAGCTGCCCAGGTTTTCTGCTAGTTCAAGTTGGAGGGCCAAGATCAAGAACTGTTTCTCCAACACCAGCTGTGTATCAGCTCTGGGGCTACGTAGAGGAGAACAGAGACCCACCTTGTCATTGCCCTTTTGGAGCTACAGTCTCCTATGGGAGACAGACATTTATCAAACAACGACACAAATAGAACCTAATATTGGGTCTGCATAGTGCTATGAAACTACTACTTGACAGTTGGAATGCTGATTATAGAGGATTTAATTTAGGAAAATCGGGGAAGATTTTTCTGATTTGACAGTTGAGATCTGAAAGGGATGGGGAGTCAGAGAAGAGCCTTTGTAAAGGTCTGAGGGATAGACATAGTATAGAGAATGGTGTGAAGTCTGTAGAGAAGTAGGAAGGTGCTAAACCCTGCAGGGCCTTAGTTTTGTCATTAACCTAAGAGCAGCAGAGAGTTGAAGTGTTTAAGCCTGGTGGTGATGTGACTAGCTTGACGTTTCCAAAGGTTAGTTAAGCTGTAATAGGAAGAATGGAGTGAAAGGGCAAAATGAATAGGAGTAATGGAATAATCCAATAAATGTTAGGAAGTAGTTGTGGAAATAGAAATGGCAGGCTCAAGGAATAATCTGGAAGTAAATGGACAGGGTAAGTAGGATAGGGGAATGAAGTATTAAGGGTGACTTGCAGGTTTCTGACCTGTGTAGCTGGATTGGTGTCATTTACTGAATGGGGAAAATTTAGAAGATTGGTTTTATACATGTTAAGCTATAGATGCCTTTGAAAAATTTTAGAGCTGTAGAATGAGAAGTCGGGATTTAGGGCTCAGATTTGATGCTTGTGTAGAAATAAAAAATTAGTGACTCATCTATAAATTAGAGTCATGTGCATAACTGAGTGAAGAGGGCCTAGGATGAAATCTTGGATACTTATTAACCAGGTTAGAGGAAGATAAATTCTCAGAAATTTAGGAGGCATGTCCAGGAAGGGAGGAAAACCAGCTGAGTACTGTGTTTCAGAAGTCAACAAAAATACTTTTCCAGCAAAAGGAACTGATCAAAAGTGTCAGATGTTTCTGAGAGGGCAAGTGAGATGGTATGAAAAGCATTCTTTCAAGTTACTAATCAAGAAATTATTTCCATTTCAAAGGAAACTTTACTAGAAAGCTAATATATAAACAGTATTTTTATTTTTTTCCTTTTTTGGCCCCACTGCACGGCTTATGGGATCTTAGTTCCCAGGGCAGGGATTGAACCCAGGCCCCCGGCAGTGAGAGCACAGAGCCCTAACCACTGAACCACCCGGGAATTCCCAGTAATAATTTTAAAAAGCTCTGGTTGGAGTGGAAGTGAGGTTCTTATACCCTGCCTGTTTTACCCCATTTGGACTACAGTTTGAAACCCTCTGAAAAGTTAAAATCATTTTATAATGGGAAAACTCAACAGTTAAGGTAAAATGTTTTGCTCAAACCCATAGTTATTTAGTAGTGGTAGACTGTCCATTAGAACTCAGTTCTTCCAGTTTCTAACTTAGGTTCTTTTTGCTGTAACTGTTATATTCTCCACTTTGTTTCACGATGTGTGAGTTTGAAAATTGGTTTAACTGACTGAACAACATGCATTTTGCTGCAAGTGGAACTAACTGTGCAATAGAAAAACTGCTTGGATGAATAAACATTTTACTTTTTTTCCCCCAGAGGAAAAGATGCTAGAACCACAGGAGAATGGCTTGATTGACATACCAGATTATGAGCATATTGAAGATGAAACTTTTCCTCCGTTCCCGCCTCCAGCCTCTCCAGAGAGAGAAGATGGTGAAGGCGCTGAACCTGAAGAAGGTCCATGACACTAAAGTGGTGTCCATGTTCAGCTATCCCTCTGTCAGCTTACAAAATGACACATTTTATAAGTGAGGCTTAAATAAGTAATATTAAGTCTTGATATGTTTCACCAGAGTCAGGGAGAGGAGCATCTGTTCCCGTACCTCCGAAGAGAACCGTTACAAGGAACATACCCAAGCTGAATGCTGAGAGGTACATTTACTGTTTCCTTAAACACTTCTACTTGTCTTTCCATCATCTTTTCCCTCTTATGTTACAAGCTTTTGGTTGGGATGGTTTTGGGATCAGATATTTCTAAAGGCATTTTTTTCAGTTTAACAGATAACATTTCTTTTCTTATGGTCTTGCTTTGGCCTTGATGGCTTTAGAAAACTTGAAATTTAAAAATACTTCTATTCACAGATTAATTTCAGAGAGAGGGCTCCCAGCATTAAGGCATATGTTTGAGAAGGCAAAATTCAAAGGTAAAGGTCATGAGGTAAGAAATGTCTGATTTGTATTTTAGACCTTTGTTTCTTAAAATATTGGTAAGACTGTGTGCCCATTATCATGTTCTCAGGAATCTTAGAATGTTTCACAGATCCTGTCATTCATCATCATATCTTTAGAAACTGATATGTGGAAAGGACATTGAAGACATTTAGGAACTGTCAATCTCTGCACAAGTGAACATTTAAAAATTTCCTTTGCATCATGTAGAATGTAGATAGAATTTTTTTGCAGATGATATCTTTGTAGAGCTTTGTAATAATTTATGAAGGATTTTCAAATATGTTCTTAAATTATCAACCTCTGGGGTAGGTGTTGGTCCCATTATGTAGTGAAGGAAACTGAGTTTTAGTTTTAAGCTTCCACTGCCAGTGGTTAAGAGCAGACCCTTGGCTTTTGTTTCATGGACCAGCTAGAGGAACATTAATACAACATGAGCATGATTTTGGTGTGGCATTTAGGAGAGTTGGAAAGAGGGAAGTGACCAGAGGCCGACTATTCAGAGGGTATTTCACTCCCAGGGGAACGAAGTGAAATAGCCTAAATCGGATATTAATAATAGCAGGGGGATGAACAACATATAATACTTGGAGGTGATTGGGAGGTACAGAAGTAAAAATTAATCCCCAAATTTTAAACCTAGGAGGCTGAAAAGCCTGTATTACATTTTCTTAGTTTCAGTGGACAGTAAGGAAGAATATAAGCCTGTGTTCTGTTTTGCCACAAAACTAAACCTAAGTCAAGATATTTTAAAACCATGCCCAGCTCAGTTAATTCATTGCTCTTATCGGAATTTTCAGGTAGTAATGATAAACTGGTGCTTGAATTTGTGACATCTTCATCATTTTCATAAGTACTTTGTTAAGATAAATAAACTTATATGAAGAGTAAATATTTTGTAATCCTTCACTGGGTGAGGGTGGACTCTGAGTCTGTCTAGTCTCCTATACTTTGCCTTTGAAAATTCTTACTGTGTTCTCACAAAGTTGCATCACTGATGCCTTTTTTCCGGGTATGATTTGGGACTTTACACTGTATTTAGGTTTGTCTTTTCTCTGTCCATTGGGTCTAACATGACATTGTGAGGTGGCTGATCAACAACTGGAAGATGGTCATAGGTGGTTGAGTCTTTAAAAGAACTTTTATCTTTATCAGAATGAGAATGATAAGACATTATGTTCTCAGTATTATATACTGAGTTATTGGTAGAGTTGATTGTTTTAACCATGAGCTTCTTACGGTTCAAATACCTTCAAGATCAAATACCACCATCACAATAACAGTGGACATTTGTGGGCTTGCTTTGTGTCAGGCACTTTTCTTGTATTACTTAATTCTTCTAACAACCCTATGAACTGTGTATAATCTCATTCATGAAGAAAAATTACACAGGTAAAGTGATTTGTTTAAAGCCACACAGCTATTAAGTGGTAGAATTTAGATTTGAATCTATGCAGTCTGATCCAGAGCTTTTAACCACTCTCCTATTTTAAAATTCTGTAAGAAAAAAAAATTTATAGTAAAATCAGGGATTTGGAACTTTTTTCATTTATTACTGTGGTTTATTAAATTTTGTTTTTCATTAGAATTTCTTTTAATGTTAAATTGAAGTTTCAAATGTAGAGAGGTACTGTGGTCTGAGAATGTTTGCACTGTCTTACTAGTCTTCAGCAGTTTGCCCTTGGAGTTTCTGAGTATATTTTCACGGAGCTGATTCTCAGTGCTTTCTTCTCTGTATCAGATTTTTAGGGTCCTCTCAGTTTGTATAGTTATTTCTAAAAGATAACCTTGTCATATTTTATTAAATTTATTTTCAAGTATTACTTTATAGTCCTGAAAAGACACATGATTATCTTTTAACTTTTATTAAGTTTTCATACTAGGTTTCTTTTTTCCTCTGATTTTTAAAGCCTACTGCAGGTTTTAAACCTACTGCAATCCTCTAAGCCCTTAATACATACTTTTCTTCTTAAAGTTTCTTGTAAAAGTTTATTAACCTTATAGATATAGAGGGACACCAGTGACTTTGGTACTACTGTTCAATTCTGAAATGTGCTGACAAGGTCACTTGTGAGAATGAATCTTCTATTTAGCACTTTTATTTTTATGTGCCAGGCTGAGGACTTGAAGACCCTAATCAGACACATGGAGCACTGGGCACATAGACTATTTCCTAAACTGAAATTTGAAGATTTTATTGACAGAGTTGAATATCTGGGAAATAAAAAGGAAGTTCAGGTAGGTGTTGAGATTATTATGAATATCATTCACAATGCTAAATTGTATAAGGATATATTTAGTTGAGGCTAAGTAGCTCTTTGGGGTCTTCATTTTGCAGTCTTAGTAGAGAGGAGGAGAGTTAATAGTAGTTACTTGAGCAACTTTTTTTTGAAAAGAGTAAAATCAGTGACCACTTTCTCCCAAATCTAAGTGAAAAATGTAAAAAATGTCTTTTATTTTCAGACCTGTTTAAAACGAATTCGACTTGATCTCCCTATTTTACATGAAGATTTTGTTAGCAATAATGGTAAGAATATAGGTTTATGTACTTGATAAAGTTTGCTTTTACAAATGGATCTAGTTGGGGTCGGCAGTGTTACAGGACTGACTTCTTAGCCTATTTCGAGTATATAATTACAATATAGTAAATAGGAATGAATTAAGGTGCCTTGATATATCTGGAATACACAGTGGTAAGAGATGTAAAAATATCTTTACATGTTCACAAAGAGCATGAGTTTTTGTGAACTGTGGGTCATGACCCATTGATCTTTTGTAGTGCTTGTTAATAAAAATATATGAAAAGATACAGTGTTCATATACATGCCCATTATAAAAAAGTGGTTCTGGGAAATTAGAATAATTTGATGTTGGACTACTTCACATGTCACACAAGAGTACAGATCTTGTGTATGTGACTTTATTTAGACCGTTGTGACTGTTCCTGTATTGATTGCATTTGTTAGTTGTACGGTGCAACCATAGGCAGTCACAGACATCAAAACACATGGTTCCTGCCGACAGGGTCTGTATAGTTATCAGATTTTCTGTGCGATGGCTCCATACATGTTTACTTTTGTTTTTAAAATTTTTAATAGATGTAGTAGAGAATACAGGCTCCATATAGAATACCCAAAAGTTATTTATAAATTGCTTTTGAAGGTGTAAAAGATTGTGATTTTAATAATCCAAGGCTTAATTATTTGGTAAGAATTTATGGTATGAGATGCTGGCGTGGGATTTGATATGTGAGAGGAATTAGTTGTTAGACTCTGAATCCCACAGCATACCCTACTGGCTTAGTTAGCTTATCCATTCAACTTTTTGAGCTGCGTACAATGTGCTCATGGGCTTCCTTGGTGGCTCAGTGGTAAAGAATCTGCCTGCCAAAGCAGGAGACATGGGTTGGGAAGATCCCTTGGAGAAGGAAATGGCAACCCACACCACTACTCTTGCTTGGGAAATCCCATGGACAGAGGAATCTGGTGAGCTATGGTCCATGGGGTCACGAAAGAGTTAGACATAGTGACTAAATAACAACAGTGTACAATATATATATCCTCCCCCCACCCCCAGGAAAGGAGAGTAAATGTAAATTCATATTTCAAATGGTTGTCTTGGTGATACGAATTTTTTTCCCCACTTGTCAGATCTGATGAGTTATCTTTTTTTTTTTTAACTCCATGATGTGAATGATACAAAGAGAAGGTGAAGTGTCAGCTTTGCCATCTTCTTACCTCTTGCTTATACTTCTGTTATCTTCTACCTACAGATGTTCTGTTATTTTGCAAAAACCTTTTAAAGTTACCACTTGTGCATTTTGTTAGGGTTGTTTTGGTTAAAATAGATAGTATTTCAGTTTGCTTAACTGGGTCATCAGAATATCAGCTATATGTCATAATATGCTGAATTTAAAAAATGAAGACTCAACTCCACCCTGCCTTGAAGGTAGCTTAGGATAAGGGATAGGTTGTCACTGCCAGTTCTTCTTCTAAATGTAAGTTAGAAGAAGAAATATAAATTTTTCTTAATTACTAAATGAAATATAAAGGGAAAATTTAGTATTTACTTTTCATACCCTTGTGGATCATTTTAGGAACATCCTACTTTGAGTAACTGGTGTACAGGGCTTTAAGAATTTATTAAGACTAATAATGTAGAGAGCACTTAATTTAAAAAAAAACTAGCTTGGCAATATGTCCACAGATCTCTAAATTTCTTTTTCCTTTTTCACTTTGTGTCTTGGTTTTACTCTATAAAAATAGCCTATATAAAATAATTACTGTGTATCATACAAACAATGTAGCAAGCTGGTAAAATGTTTTTAATGTAAAACAGGGCTATGCGACTACAAACTTTTGCTGTTAATGCATTTTTAAAACTAGTATCCCATTTGACTTAAAATAACTTTAAATATTCCTTCTACTTGTTTGACTCAAGCATGTCAAGCATCTGACATTCTCATACCTCACAAATTGTTTCTTCACGTCTGGTACCTTGTTGTTTTAAATTGGTTTTCAGTCAATAGCTGCAGAAACTCTTTTTCTAACTAGTTTAACACTACAGATACACTTTTTCTTTTCTACTGCAGATGAAGTAGAGGAAAATAATGGCCATGATGTAACTGCTACCGAATTAGATCCCTTTCTGACAAACTCACATGAAAGTGTAGAGTTTGCTTCTGAGTCAAGTAGAAGCCTAACAGAAGAAGAACGACAAAGAATTGAGAGAAATAAACAACTGGCCTTGGAAAGAAGACAGGCAAAGCTACTGAGTAACAGTCAACCCCTAGGAAATGGTAAATTTTATGCTGCATTTTATGTGCTACCATTCATATATCAAGGGCATGTTAGAAATTTTAACTTCTTCGCTATTCCTCCAAATAAAATACCTCGAAAAATAGAAAAATATGGTATAGTATATTAAATTTATGTATATTTGAGAGAGAGAGTGAGCGAGAGACCTAGTTGGAATCCACGAAGAATACAAGTTCAAGATAGTTTTCTGGGTAGCTGAGCATTTGTTAAAAAGTTATTCTAATAATCACTTAAAATTGATTCTGGATCTTTCAAAAACATATTCTTCCCTGACTCCCTAAAGCATGTGACATATAATTTTATCTTAATGATCATAATTAAAATAATAACTGCTTTGTTATTCCCTAAACATATAAAATACTCTGCACCCATTGAGGACTTTAGAGCCATTTGCTGTGACATGAATAGGTCCCAAAATGCTTTTTATTGCATTGTGTCACTTCTGTTGTGAGCTGTCATATTTGCTTTCTTATTGATTCCCTTATCTTTGAAAACTGCCTTAAAATTTGCTGATTTAAAACAGACTGTGGGTTTGGAAACTGGATAATCAGGTTTGGTAAAGCTGTATTTAAAAAATAATTGCAAATTGCTTTTCAATAAAGCACACCTAACCACATTTATCTTTGTCAGTTTCCAATCCAGTTTTTCCTTTTGAATTGGGAAAATAAGAATTATAGTAGTGAAGATACCATGTTATAAAACAAGTTTCACCCAAAATAATGAAATTCTCAAGTGAAAATTATTCAGTAGTATTTTAAGTTTTTTTCCAGTTAGAATGAATTTAATTTTTAACCTAACAAATGGATGTTTTATACTACTTTGTGAAAAATACATGAAGATAGAACTGTTGTTGATGGCAGTTCTTCCTTGCTGTCATTATCAAAGTTTACTTGGCAAAAAGTATTTTAAGGCACATCTTCTATTTATAATATATGACTTTAAAATTTTCTGAGTAGAAATGAGTACCTTAAATATTTTTTATTATAGATCACTTATATATCTCATAAGAACATTTGACTTTAAAAAAACCTATCTAGTAATTGTAATTTTTGAATGGGAACAGTTGTATTTGGCTATGATTCAAAAGTTTGAGTTTGACTTGCATTTTTAATGAATTTTATAATAATACATGTATAGAAATGGCTTTATTTGGAAGAAAGGGGTCATAATTAACATTAAAATGATCATAGATTTCATTTTTATTGATTTAGACTCGTGAAGAAGTTTGTACTAGGTAAGATTGGATCCAGTGCTTGTAATGAGTAATAATGGTTTCTCTTGCAGACTTGTTGGTGAACACGCCCAGCACACAGCCACCTGAAGAGGGTAGTACAGGTGAGGAGCAAAAGGAGGAAGAATCAAATGGATTTAACAAAGACCTTCTAGATAGTCCACGTAATGATGGTGCTGCCAGTACTGTAAATGAAGAGGAGGAATTAAAAGTCGAGAAAACGCAACTGGACCAATCCTTTTAAAATTTACAGTAGTTACTTAGGCTTCATCTAGAAATATTCCTGAAGTTGGATAGGCCTCAAATGAGAAAATCTGTTAAGCTGCTATCTTCCAAATTTGAGATGACTGTGCAGTGCATTTTGTCTGCTTTGAATGAAAATCTTTATGTAGTGAAACTTTCAGATTCTTGTTTAAAATCTGGTATTATTTTAATTATGCCATGTGCTCAGTTGCTCAGTTGTGTCTGACTGTGACCCCATGGATTGTAGCCCACCACGTTCTTCTGTCCATAGGATTTTTCCAGGCAGGAATAACTGGAGTGGGTTGCCATTTCTCCCCCAGTGGATCTCGACCCAGGGATCAAACCTGCATCTCCAGTGTCTCCTGTATTACAGGCAGATTCTTTAGTACTGAGCCACTGGGGAAGCCTTATTTATAATTATACTTGTTTCTTATTAACTTTTGTTGTCTATTTTTCTCCTTAGTGTTTATTTGTATATAAGTATGACCTTGTAAAAATGATTGTTAATAAGTAGCTTTTGCTGCTCATGTTCCATTGAATGCTCTGTTTTTACTAAATTGGGTGGTGTTTTAAAATGTAAATATGTATAATAAATACTAATGTTTTTTTTTTTAATAAAAATCTCACAAAGTATCCCTAGAGGCTTTATAAAAGTTTCTTACTGCTCTTTAGTGCTACACTATATACTTATGGTAAAATGTTTACACTTGCTATATATGTGTTTACATGTCTTTTGAGAAGTCACTTTAATACTTTCAAAGGGTCGATGAAAAGCTGATGTATTGCCTGGCATGCATAGGTCCTGCTGCTGTGTCACTTCAGTCGTGTCCGACTCTGTGAGACCCCATAGACGGCAGCCCACCAGGCTCCGCTGTCCCTGGGATTCTCCAGGCAAGAACACTGGAGTGGGTTGCCACACAGGTCCTAGGGAAGTTCAAGTGCTCCTTGGTACCTTTTTGTTGTTGTTCAGTCACTAAGTTGTATCCAACTCTTTGTGGCCCCATGGACTGTGGCACACCAGGCTCCTCTGTCCATGGGGTTCTCCAGGCAGTACTGTAGTGGGTTACCATTTCCTTCTCCAGAGGATCTTCTCAGACCAGGGATCAAACCCGTATCTTCTGTATTGACAGGCAGATTCTTTACCACTGAACTACCAGGGAAGGTTGGTACCTTACTGACTAGTTAGTTGGAGAGAAACTTGCAAAGCATCATGAGCACCTCGGGAGGATTCACAGGAGATCTTGCATTGGTGGAGATGCCAAGGATTGGGAAGAACATGTGCAATAATATAGAAATGAAAATCTAGGAAATAAAGAGATTTGGGAATGGTGGATATGAGGCTGAAGTGTTAGAGGCACTTGGTGGGAAGACCTAATTGGAGTTTTTCCAGCCTCAGTTTACTTACTTGGTGGAGGGGTAATTACAAAGTACTATGTTGAGAATCAAGTTTAAAGGTTTGTCTGGTTCTTAGGAGATTCCCACGAGGGAGAGGGCAAGGCAAAGCTAGTCTTTACAAACTAGGACATGGGAAGGTTGCTTCTGGGGCGAGGGGCAGGCTGGCAGAGTGATGGTGCTAAGTAATAAGTCTCCAGCAAGGGCAAGGCCTGGGCAACTCATCTGAGGAGTACTCAGCTCAGTGAGAGGATGGAAGGGAGGTGTGAGAGAACAGACCTTACCCTGTGCATCCCATCCACCTCCCTATGCCCCAACCCCAACTGGTGCTGGGGACAGCAGGGGAGACTGAGTCAAATATAAAGTCAAGGGTTTTAAAGTGGACACATGGACAGGACTGAGTCTTACTATCTGAAGGAAAGTGAAAAGTTAATCTGGCAGATGTCAGAGGGACCTGTGACCCAAATGGCCCAGTGTAGAAATTACTGGAAAATTAATGCAATAAAAGAACTGACTTGAGACAAGCTAGCCAAATTCTGGGTTTATTAACAAGACTGGCAACCTGTTTTGCAGAGCCAGGATTCAGTGATCCAGTATCTCTGAAAAACCACTTTCCATAATGACCTAATTGAATTTTAATGCAACTTAGTGATAAGAAAATATCTACCCAATCTCACCCCCCCGCCCCTCGCCAATCAGGGATTGGGTAGCACTGAAGGGCACAGAAAATTTTACCTTGATGTTTAAAAGAAGGTAAAACATTCACGTAAGACAAAGTTCCCCTTTAATGAAGTCAGAAGAGTTTCATATGCCATAACTGTTGGAGACATCCAGGAGAGCTAGGTCTCTTATTTCCTCTAGAAGTGTGTACAGGCTTCTTCCCTTTGTTTGGCAGTATTTTTTATAATCTTCAGTGATGTTTACTTCGACTTCTTGAGCAAGCTGAGCCTCCTCCACAGATCTAGTTACTTCTTTCACTAAATCACTCTTTAGCAAGAGGGAACTCTGCTGAAAAAGTTCTGTATCTGGTGTCATGTGTGGTTTACTGCTTATTATTTCAAGCCGTATTGTATCAGAATGGCAACGTGAGGTCTGTACAGATATTCTCACCTATCATAGAGGAGAAAATGCATATTACTAAGTCACATTCTTTGCTTGTTGCATGGAAAGCAATGCTTAATGTAAATACAGACTTACTGTTACATGGTCAAACAAATGGAACGTAACAGATTCCCCTCCTGTCGTGGTAGAGGTGATTTTGTTTTGAAAGCGTTGAAGGGATCCTGGTTTCCATTCAGAATGGCCATCTGGGCCACATGAGATCACTAAACCATCTTTATTTCTTAAATAAGCAGCACCTTTAATCCCAAACCTGAATTATTGTTAGAATAAAAATTCAGAGATGTATATTCTTTAGTATGCAGATCTTGTATACTTATCTAGAACGCTAGTTTTTCTTACAGCTTCAAAACAACAACAAAAAACTTCCAAAAACAAACAAACCCAGCAGAAAACGAACTTTACATCTGATTTACCTCCAAATATCTACTTCACTGAGCAGATGAAAACAAAATGTTTTGCTAAAGAAAAAATAAAACTATCTGATGACTTACACAGAAGTGAGTGAAAGTGTTAGTCGCTCAGTTGTGTCCAACTTTTTGTGACCCCATGGACTGTAGCCTGCCAGGCTCCTCTGTTCATGGAATTTTCCAGGCAAGAATACCGGAGTGGTTTGCCATTCCCTTCTCTAGGGGATCTTCTTGACTCAGGAATTGAACCCAGGTCTCCTGCATTGCAGGCAGATTCTTTACCATCTGAGCTACCAGGGATCTCTTTTTTTATACTTATATAATGAATTATATAAAGCATTAAAGCGTCTGCCTGTGGTGCGGGAGACCTGGGTTTGATCCTTGGGTCGGGAAGATCCCCTGGAGAAGGAAATGGCAACCCACTCCAGTATTCTTGCCTGGAGAATCCCATGGATGGAGGAGCCTGGTGGGCTACAGTCCATGGGGTCACAAAGAGTCGTCCATGGGGTCGCGAAGAGTCGGACATGACTGAGCGACTTCACTTTCACTTTCTTTCAATGAATTATATATTACATTATGTACATATGGTAACTTCAAAACAGTTGCGAAAGTAAGTGCTTTAAAGAATGATATCTAATGTACCATTTCTATAAAGTGAAAGTCATTCAGTTTTGTCCAACTCTGTGACCCCATGGACTATACAGTCCATGGAATTCTCCAGGCCAGAATACTGGAGTGGGTAGCCTTTCCCTTCTCCAAAGGATCTTCCCAACCCAGGGATCGAACCTACCATTTCTATACTGTGTCTATACTTTAAGGTTAACTATGACTTCATAACAACTTTTGTGTTAGAAATAACATACCTTGGTATAAACACAAGCACACCATTTGTCCTAATTGAATAAATGACCCCATCAGATATGCGACGCTCCTCAGTTTCTGGGTCTTTGTCTTTAAAATACATGCATTGGAAGAGCTCAGTAGACTGCTTCTGAGAATGTTGTGCTGCCTGTAAGAAGAAACACAACCCCCAAACATGATGATGGATTCTTGACACCCCAGAAGAAACATGTGATTCATATTCCCAAAGAAACAATGTCTTTTTTAAAAGGCTAGGTTCTAGAAAACTATTAATACAAATATTCTCTATTATTAATTAAATCAATTTTGTAAGACCCTTTATCAAGCCCTCAAAAATGTCTTAGAAAATTAATTCTTAAACTACTTGTTTGTTATTTAAAAGCTGTTTATAGTTCACTCAAGAAGAGGAAAAGTACCCAGGTCTATGTCTTACCTGATTTTTCAAGTCTGTCCTAGCAAATCCTGCTGATGGAAGTGCAAATTAGAACTATATTCTGGAGGGCAATTTAGTAATAGGTATGAAAGTTTTAATTATGCCTGATTTGTGTTGCTGTATGGCAGATTTATTTATCTGATTCATTTCACTATAAATTATAAAGCAATTATCTTCCAATTAAAAACAAAAGCTGAAAGTTTTGTGTATCCCTCTTGATTCAGTAATTCATTATTGTCAGGAATTTATCCAGGCAAAATGTGAGAAGTCTATAAAAAATGTATCCATAAGGATGGTTGTAAACTAGATTTCGAGGAACACTGCTGCCTATCCAAACTTTCTGAAAGGATGGAAACATTCTGTATCTGTGTTGTCCCATAGGTAGCCACTAGCCACACATGTCTATTAAGCATGTGGAATGTGGCTAGTGCGACTGTGGAGCTGAAGTTTTAATTGAAACCAACATGAGTAGTGGCTATAAGATTGTATAGTATCAAACTAGTGTTCCAACTGGATACAGATAATGTTAAACATTTAGGTAGTTTCCAATCTGATGTATCACCAAATGGTCTAGTTCTATCTAAGTTGTATAACATGGCCAATAGAAACAATTTGAAATAAAACACAAGGTAGTTTCTAAAATAATGATGTAACTATATTGATATGGTGTGCTATCAATAACAAGTGAAAAAAGGCCTACTTCAAACAGCAGGTATGATTGGATATTTTTATAAATAAAAAGCATTGTCTAGAATTGTTATTATCTTTGGGTAGTAAGATGATAGA